TTAAAGGGGATATGTGCTAGTCCCCTTTATAGTTTTTCTGTGATGAGAACACACACACACACACACACACACACACTCACACATTCACATAGCTGGGAATGTAGTTCAGTGCAGAGGCTCTAAGTTCAATCCCCAGTACTAAAAAACAAAAACAAAAGTCACTGCTGTTCAGTGGAAATACAACTTGAGGTACATGTACAGTTTTTAAGTGACTAGTAGCCACATTTAAAGACTTATAAACAAAATTAATTTTGTTTAGGTTGATATTCATGTTATTTCATTATTTATTAATGTAAAAACTTACTGAGCCATTTTGCATTCTTTTTTCTCATTCTGTCTTTGAAATCATCTGTGTGTTCCATCATTGCAGCGTGTGTCCGTTTGGCCCACTGCACTTCAAGGGCTCAGCAGCCCTGTGTGGCCAGTAGTCATTATGCTGCTCACGAAACGAGACAGGAATGGGCGTGTTTGATATGAGACAGTTAGAAACGTTACAGACATATGTGCATGAAAGAGTATTGTTCCTTAGGAGAATTCTCCTTTCTACATCAATAATTTTTTCATAGGTTGGTGTTTATCCCCTTTATATTTTTTCTGTGATGAGATAATAGTTGTCTACTCATTGGGGTTAATGTTAATTTACTGTAAGACTCGGAGAAAATTTTTTCAGAATTAAAATGTTTGGTATTTATAATTTCAATTTAACCAAGTATAGTTATATTCTGCATCTGAGTGCAATTTATACAAGTGGTTATAAAATCTAAAAGAAAAGTTTCAATATAGGTCACATACTGTTTTATAGGAGCAGCTTGTCCTGAATATTGAAGCTCTAAGGGCGGAGCTGGACCAGATGAGGCTGAGAGGGGCTTCACTCCACCTCGGGTACGGTATCTCATGTGCTGTCAGCACTGTTGTGGGCAAACACGGGCCTGTCCTTGGCTGGATGGGCAGCACACCTGGATAGAGGCATAATTAGACATCAGGGAGCCTGTAGTGAGGTGACAGGCCAGGGGAAGAGTGAAGTATCCTGGAAGTGGAAGCTTATGCCTAGGAAACACATCATTGGCAATATTCAAAAACAGGTTTAGGAGCTGAGGAATTACTGGCTAATATTTGGACATACGTAGGTGCTTGATGAAGTGTGATTTTAAGGTACAGAGACAAAAAGACAGAGCCAAGAAGTGTTGAAGGGCTGCCTTCGTGGGAGCAGAGGAGACAGCGTAAGCTGAGCCTGCTCTTGGAACAGCTGCACAATTACAGCTTAGGGGAGCTTGACATTTGATGGGTATAGTACAGCATTTGAAATTTATATACTTTAGGAGACACTGAAAGTTCATGATGTGTTTTGGATTGACTGATACAGGAGAGTACCACCTGGCTTGTGAGTGAATCCAGTGAAGTCCTAGCACGTGAACCCCACACATCCCTCTCTTCTCCCTTCTCTTTGTGATAGTGGCAGTCATTCTTATTAAAGTACTAAAAACTTTGGTGGTATTTCTTTAAAGAAAAACAGTAGTCAACTGAGAGTTCAACTTTAGAAAAAGTTACCAAAGTGATGAAATGTGAAATTAGTTTACAGGAAACAGGCTCCTGATTGAAACATGGCATGGGAGAAAGTGTGGAGTCTGGCTAGACTCTTCTGCATTGCAAATTTAAGATGTCATAAAGAGGTAGAGCATCCCGTGCACTGTCCCTGCCACATGTACTTGTAGAAAACAAGAAGAAAAACCAGGGCAGATGGCTCAAAGTCAGCCAGAAGCTTCCACTGTCTGCATAAGCAAAGTAACACGAACTTTCCAAAAGAAGGGTTTACTTGCTTACAGAAAGAGCGTGTCAAGGCCATCAGGACAGAAAATGGCTGGGTTGGGTGACAGCCTTGCCAGTGGAGACTAGTGTTGCTAAAATGACAGTAAGACACAGTGCTGGGGAGTCTGTAAGATGTGTCTTTGAAAATGTGTCAGTAAAGAGGTGAAGGAAGGTTGTAGTGCTTAATGAAAGGAAGGGGGAAGAAGTTGAAGGAATAAAAAACTTTGGGGAAAGATTTTTTAAAATATAGAACTGACTTGCTTGCTCATGTCTGTCAGCCTAAGGTATGGAAGTGAAAGAAGACAGGGGAAGGGAGCTGTTTGCTCTGGGAATTCCAAGGGGGTAAAAGGGGTGGACCTTGTCACATACTGCTGGGAGGCTTGAGAACAGTGGCACCAGAGGCAATGAAGAGGAGCTGGCCTGGTTCCAGGAGACAGATCTGGAGGTTCCATATTAGGTGGGCTAGAGGTGGCCTAGAGGGGGGAGGAGTGGATCACAGCAGATATGACATAGTCTTGGCTAGGAAGATTGAAAAGAGTGGGTGTCAGGGGGGCCAACTTCACATATTTCACATGACTTGGCAGTGAATGAGTCCTCTTGTGTTTGTGTTTTGCAAGAAAAATTGATGCAGCTGAGGAGTGGCAAAGGCAGATGAGAGACAGGCATCTATCGTTGGGTTGGGAAATGACTGGTTGGTGGTGGTGACAGAGCTGCTGGGAGTACCGCTGAAAAGAGCATCCAAATTAGAATTGATGACCTTCAAAGGATCCTTGAATTATAAACACAAATTAGTGATTGGTGGACATGGTCCACCCCTTTTGTCCCCTTGGAACTCCCACAGCAAACAGCTCCCTTCCCCTGTCTTCTTTCACTTCCATACCTTAGGCTGACAGACATGGGCAAGCAAGTCAGTTCTGTACCTTAAAAAATCTTTCCTGAAACGTTTTTATCCCTTCAACTTCTCCCTCCTTCCTTTCATTAAGTACTACAACCCTCCTTCATCTCCTTACTGACATACTTTCAAAGATACATCTTGCATACTCCACAGCACTCTGTCTAGAATTATAAACACAATTTCATGTGCTCAGCTTCTGTCCATTTGTGAAGTGTGCCTTGCCTCCAAAGCATTTAGCTAAAGTCATACTGGAAAAGATAAATAATTTAATAAAGTACGAAGGAGTGGAGGAAGTAAGACAGTTGCTCTCAAAGGAAAAAGCCAGACTTGGCATATTATAAAAAGTCATGAACAGGGGCTGGTGAGATGGCTCAGTGGTCTAAAGCACCTACTTAGAACAAGCTTAGCAAAGCACAGGGACCGCAGTTCGATCCCCCAGCACCACATGCCAGCCAGCCCTGCCCCCTGGTGGGCTGAGCTGGCCACACACACACACACACACACACACTAAATAAAAATAAACTTTAAAAAAAAAAAAAGTCATGAACATTCCATGGAGGCATTTCTTTAAAATACGGACAGGCGTCTGTAACCCTAAAATAAATGAGTTAACATGTCCTATGGGCCTGTCTGTGGATGGGAGGAGAGTCATGAGGGATCCCCTGCCAAACTTCCCATAAGCAGATTAGTGGATTTTGTCTCCCAAGACCTTTGCCTCTGAAGGATTTCTGAAATGAAGACAGCCACCTTCTTTGCCAGGGACCAGGAATACTAGCAGAGTAAGCAGCAGTAGCAAGATGGGTACCACAAGTGCTGCTTTCCTGGGACCTTTTCAATGGAAACAGTGTTTCTCCGTGACCCTGGGATGGGAACCACACACAAGCCTGGCTTTGGGTTTTGGGTTCAAAAACAAAGAGACAAACCCCAGCCCTAGTTCCCAAGTACTGTAGTTGTACGGAAGAGACTTGTGCAGCCTGGACCCCCAGGATGTTTTGTGACTGCTAGCTGTTGGTCACTCTATGGATTTGAACATGAGAGGGGAAACTGAAAGTGGCATCTCGGTATGCCCATTGATCAGCTTGGAGAAAGAGTGGAAATGTGAGAGCCAAGGTGTCTGCAGGCTAGACCTCAGATGTCTGTCCTACCTTCATGTCTGTAGCTGGCTGCCTGGGTTTTCCTGTATGGTGAAGTTTTCTACCTGGTAGAGCTAGCAAACTAAAAATTTAAATGTTGGCTTTGAGCAGGCCGAAAGAAGCTATCTGCATACAAGGAAAATGCCCTTCCTGGAGACCATTTCCTTTGTGAAATTATATGGTTTCCAAATTGACAGGTCTGGCTTGAAAGAGTCACAAAGCTTGTTTACCGTTCTTCTAACAACAACCTTTGTTTCACATTTCAGCCGCCCCCACTTGGGCAGTGTCCCAGATTTCAGGCTTCCCATGGCAGATGGGCACACAGATGCCTACAGCACCAGTGCAGTGTTGCGGCGCCCCCAGAAAGGCCGGCTGGCAGCGCTGCAGGACGAGCCTTCCAAGGCAAGGCCTTGCGTGAAGTACATCTGCTTGTGTAAAAGTTACCTGCTTATCTTGAACTAAGCTTTCAATAGGTGGCTTGTTTCTTTTCCCCCATTTTCCTTTTTCTGACTAAAAGTGTACTTTTAGGGCATACTTCTTTTTTGTTTTATTGGTTTTTTTGAGAAAGGTTTTAATAAAGTACAATTCAGTTCACTGAGATGGGTATAATGCTAATTAGTACCAACTTGAAGTTGATTGACAGTAATGAATATGTGTACTTAAGACTTAGTAACAATAATTCATATTTCTAAAATAATAATGTATCTGAGACAGTTATCTTGGAAAAATAAAATGTTTTGTTGTGGCTCACAGTTTTAGTTTCAGGGTTTTAGTCCATAATCAGTTGGCACTGTTGCTTTGGGTGAGGTGGCACATCATGCTGAAGCCTGTGGCAGAGCACCGGTGCTCATTTCATGGCCAAGAAGCTAAAAAGAGGGAAAGAAGGAGCCAGCATCTCACAGAGCAGAGCCTCAGTGATCCAGAGTCTTCCCACTAGGCCCCTCCTACAGGCTGTACCACAGCACCGTGGGCCAGGAATCAAGCCTTCAACATGGGCTTTCAGAGAATATTCCAGAGCTGAGTGATAGTGTCTGCATACCTGAGTCTCTTTTAACAGCATATCTTTTGATAAAACTGCTGTGTAACTGACTACCCATATTTGTTGAACAGCTAGTTTGGGTCAGGTACCACTGTAGACCTTGGGCTTCAGCTGTATCTGAAAAAACAAGATGCCTGCACACCTCAGTGCACATGTGTTCTATTGGAAGAGAAAAAAGCAGGGAACAGAGTAAAATGTGGCATGCATATTATCTAGTGGTATGTAATGAGTTTCTACAGAGTGTAGTGGCTCTCAACAATAAGCATTTCTTGTTCACTATTGTATAAGTTCATGAGCAGCATAGCAGAATCACTACAGCTCGAGGTTTCACTAGATTGCGGTTGTGGAAGGCCTAGCAGGGGGCAGTGGCCCTACTTCAGGGCACTCATACAGCTGCAGGCCACTGGCTCAGGTCCTCACTGTGTTCTCTAGCTGTGGAGCTGCTCGGTGCTAGCTCTCCTCAGAGACCAACTCTCAGAGAACAGGAGAAAGCTCAGTACCATTGGCTTCCTGGTCCAGCAAATTCTACACTCTCACTTCCATTCATTTCTGTTCCTCCCAGCAAGTTGCTGGGTCTTGCCCACTTGGCACAGGGCAGGTGAGACTTACTCTGAAAGAGGAGCAGACAGGCAGGGCATACTTTCAGTGTGTCAGGATGAAGAGAAGGGTCCCAGGATACCCTGTTCATGGGGTGAGGAGAATTTTCAGTAGAATAGAGGGAGGTGTTAGCACAAAAGTGATATGAAAGCAAAAACTTGAAGAAAGAAAGAAAAGGAGCCATTCTGAATGCTGTTAGATAATGCCAGTGGTGTGTGCTGAGCAATTAAACATAGTGTGAAGGAGTGAAAAGTCAAGATGACCCATGGATTTAGACCTGAGCTGACAGAAGGCTAGAGTCTGTTTCCTGAGATGAGGAAGGCAGCAGGACTGAGGTAGGCTAGGAGGTGAGCTGTGGCTGTGATCAGGTTGACAGGCCTATATTGTCTCCATGGGTTGGGATCAGACACTCATATCCATTAGAGCAATCTAGAGCTAGAGTTAGAACTATAACGTGAGGGCTGTGAGCTTACATGTGGCATTTGAAAGCATGAGGCCAGCTAAAGTCACACATGACATCTTGCTGATAGTCAGGTCCATGGATGAGTCACACAGCACTTCGATTTGAGGGAACCAGCGTGAAATGGGAGCAACCATTTCCTCCTGCCTAGGAGGAAACCAGGAGAGGTGGTGTTTTGGGGCAAGCCAGCAAGATGCTCGGGAAGAGGGGGAGCAACCAAGCCTGAGCCTCTCAAGGGGAGCTGAGTATGGCAGATGGAGTTTGTAACTCATAGTTTGGGGTTTCCCTGGAGCAGTTCTACTAGTGGGCAGATGCTGCAGGCCTTGTTGCATGCTCTAGGGTGGCAGCAAAGGAGTACAAATAGCTGGGGCAACTCCCTACAGAAGTGCACTCTAGTGGGGTCAGACAGGTGGGATTGTGGGCCTTAGGAGCCAGAGCCGGAGCTGGAGGGCGGGGATAAAAGTATTGCAGTTTCTCTTCTGTTTGTTGTTTCAAGGTGGAGAGGTGGGAGAAAATGTTTTTAAGCTGAAGGGTTGGGAAGTGGCTGATCCAAGGGAGGATGCCAGGGTGGCCAGTGCACATGTCTGTTCTGTGTGCTTTCTGATTAGTGTTTTCTATGGGAATTGCTTTTCTTAACACCCCACCTGCCAGCTCACTGTTACCTCCACCCCAAGAATCAGTCTGTCTGCACAGCTTGCTCCTATTCCTATCATTTTGTTTTCCTCCTTTGCTTTCTCAGTATTGTGGAAGGGTCTTCAGACTCAGATCCACTGTGTGAGCTAATAAAACTTAATTTGTGGTGGCAGCTTAGTGAATCCAGTGTGTTAAGCCATTTTTTCTTTACTGTTTAACACAGCAAGTCGGTACAGCAACAATGCGTTCCCTGCCCACTACTACTCTCCACCCACCCAACTGAGATTGTACCTGGGAGGCGGGGTTGAGTTACATCCACCCCTTTTTATTTTATTCTAGACAGGGTTGCACCAATTTGACCATCATGAGCTCAAACTTGCTGTCCTCTTGCCTCAGCCTCCTGAGTAGCTGGTGTGCCACCATGTCTGCACTCTGCTTTATTTCTTATATATATCACATGCCAGCAGCTTATACACCTGACCTTTCTTTCCATATTCTTTCTGGACCTCCATTTAAATTTTTAAAAATTTCTGCTACATTTCTTTCATGTTCCTGTAACTAGCCTTGATGATTTCAGTCTGCTGAGATTCAACTTTCTTGTTGACAGGTACAGACTCTCAATGAACAGGATTGGGAACGCGCCCAGCAAGCCAGTGTTTTGGCAAATGTGGCACAGGCGTTTGAGAGCGATGTTGATGTGTCTGATGGTGAAGATGACAGGGACACTCTGCTTGGTTCAGTTGATCTTTTGTCACCCAGCGGGCAGGCTGATGCCCAGACATTGGCCATTATGCTTCAGGAGCAGCTGGATGCCATCAACAAAGAGATCAGGTGTGTGAGGAAGCCTGGTATCCTCTGAAAAGTCTCAAACAAATAGAATTAACGTCTTGTAAATGTTTTATATTGATAAAACTCTTAATTCTGCTTTTCAGATATTGGGGATAGTGGTGAAAGAGATCAAACGCAGGGCACATGCTAGATAAGCGCTCCACCACTGAGTTGCATTCTTTTTTTTTTTTTTTTCCTCGTTTTTTTTGAGACAGGGTTTTGCTATGCAGTTCAGGCTGGCCTGAAGTCACTATGTAGCTCAGATTGGAGTTGAACTCACAGAGGTCCTACTCCTCAGCCTAGTACTAGGATTAAAGGCGTAAGCTATGTTGCCTGGCTTTTGAATGACATTCTTTTTGGGTGTATATGTATATTTAGTACAGGGTGTGCAGGGTCTCACTTCATAGATTAGACTGGTAGTGATTATTCCTATTTTTCAGCCTTCCAAGTGCTGGGATTACAGGCATGCTACCACACCTAGTCTCAATCGCTGCCTCATTGCGCCCCAGGGGCGGGACCAGCATGACCTGCTGGGGATCAAACCCCAGCTGCTGTGCTCTGCCTAAGCAGGTACTTTAGTCTGCTGAGCTATCTGACTGGCCCTTGAATTACATTCTTAACCCTTTAATATTTTATTTTGAGCCAGAGCCTTGCTCAATTGTCCAGTCTGGCCTTGAATTTAACAACCTTCCTGCCTCAGCCTCTCAAGTACCTGGATTATATGTGTGCACCATCATGCCTGGTTGTTTAAAGAATTTTAATTTCTTGCTGGGTGTAGTGGCATACATCTGTAGTCCCAGAACTTGAGAATCTGGGGCAGGAGAGTCTCTCAGAATTTGAAGGTAACCTGGGCTATATACTAAGTTTAAGACCAGCCTGAACTATGTAGTGAAACCCTTTCTCAAAAAAAAAAAAAAAAAAAGATTTCAACTTCTAAATTTGTTTTGATTATAAATTCAAGTAACCAGAGCAGTCTCTCTAGTTGTTGTGCTATTTTTTTGTGTGTGGGATGCTATGGGAGATGAAAATGTTAAATCTCTTTCCCAGAAGCTGACAACATAGTTGGACTATGTTGTTGCCCAAGGATTCAGTGCCTACCTGGGGAACCATGAGCTAGCTGTGCTCCCTCTGGCAGCTAGGTGGCTATCAAAGATATGCAGAGCTCTCACATCCCTAATCCAGCATACCAGGGGAAGGTTTGTGGCTCAGAGAGGTAGTGGCTGAAGCAGACAGTGGACAAGTACCAGCAGCTTCCTTCTGCTGGCCAGTGCCAGGCCACAGGATGATAACTCAGCAAGAAAGAAGTCCACATACCCATAGCAAACAGAAGATGGGAAATGAGAGAGCACTGCCTGTCAACATCCGTCCATCTAGAGTGTCCCCTTGACTAAACCCCAGGGTCGTCCTCTTGCATCTGCCACACTGGTAGGCTGCTACTATATCCTACCTCACAGAGCTTGATTTCCAGGAGGATGTGGAATGGCAGTCTGGCATGGAGAGCAAAAGGTCTTGGTTTGCAAGTCCCCACTCCACCTTGTCTTTTGCTGTATTAAATTATTATAGCCTGAGAAAACTTATTCTCTGTAGGATAGTGAGTAGTCAGAGGATGGGTATCTGAATTTTCTTAAAGCTTTTTATTTTCTTTAACAAATCTGTTGGGGGTTACAATGGAAAATTTACCAAAACAGTAGGCTAGTTTTGAAATCAGATCCAAGAATTTGCCTATGTAGTGATGAAGAGGGCTCAGGTAACCACTGTGCACAGTGACTTGGTCTAGGGATGCAGCACTATTTCAGAGGTGTCCTGAGCTCTGCCATGTTGGCTCAGCTGATGTAGTCACATCCAGTCCAGGATCTACATGAAAAGCAGCTGCATTCCTGGGCTACTCCAGGCAGGGGTGCAAGTGAGGGTTCTTCTTCCAAATTGGTAAGAGTTATAAATACCTGTTATTGCCTGTAGAGAACCTTAGGCAAATAAGAGAACAAACAGCTAGGTGTGGTGGTGCATACCTCCAGTCCCAGCTCTTTAGGAGGTAGGAGAATGGCTAATTCAGGCCCTACTAGGCAAGTTACTGATGGCGAGACTCTGTCCCAAAATAAAGGTGTGAGGATGTAGCTCTGCCAGAATCCTGTGTTCAGTTCCCACTATCACAAAAGGGAAAAAAAGAACATAAACATCCAAAACTATAGGCTATGGAGCAGAAAATCAGTTGTGCTGCATAAGTATTTGACTTCATAAACTGAATTCGCAGCTGCCATTTTTGTTCGTTTGAGATAGAGTTTTGCTGTATAGTTCAAGCTGGCCCTAAACTCACTATGTAGCCCACATTGGTCTCAGCTATGGTCCTCATCCCTCCAGCACCAAGTGCTAGGATTACAGGCATGCGCTGCCACGCCCAATGTGCAGTTGCCTCTTCTATAAGTGGTAACTCAAGGGCTGGCGAGATAGCTTAGTGCACTAAGCGCCTGCTTAGGCAAGCACAGGGACCAGGGTTCAATCCCCAGCACCCCATGCCACACCATCCCTGCCCCAAGGTGCGCTGAGCCTGTGACTCGAGCTGAGCATGGTGTTGTATACCTGTAGTCCCAGTGCTGGGAAAGCTGAAAACAGGAGGATCACTGTGAGTCTGAGCTGCATAGTGAGACTCTACCAAATACATAAAAAATAAAATAAAATAAAATAAAATAAAATAAAATAAAGGCAGTAACTCAGAAAAACAGCCCTTCCCCATCTTTATGGAAATACAAAAGCATTATGTATGTACTTTTAGTTTTTTATTTTTATTTATCATTGAAACAAAGTCTCGCTGTATAACCCAGGCTGGCCTTGAAGTCACTATGTAGCCCAAACTGGCTTCAAACTCATGGCAATCCTGCCTTAGCCTGCCAAGTGCTAGGATTACAGGTAATACCACTATGCCCAACAGTTTTTATGTGTTTTGCAGTGTACTGTTAGGTGGCAGTAATAATGCAATAAATTGACATGGTGTAAAAGGTCTGATCTATCCACTGATTTGGAGATTTCCTTTTCTTCATAATCAAAAACCCCCACTTTTCTTAGATTATATTAGTAGAATGTTGATTATACTAAAAATTATCTTAATATTAAAGAAATTACAGAGTCACTGCAAGGTTTTTGCTCCTTTATGTTAAGAAAATAATTATTACTGATATAATTTAATTATTATTGGTATACCACAACTGTTGTTTAGTTATCCATAATGGATAACTAATGGAAGAAGTTGTCCATAATGCCTTAGGACAGAAAAACTATTGTGATTTTAAATTCTAAATTTGTGTAGCATGATTAACAAGTCCAGAAACCTAGACAAGGGAAGTACAGAATTCTGTCAGACAACACTTGTGTTCAGATTTAAACTTTAAAAAAAAAAAAACCCAACATTTTCATTTAGTCTAGTAAATTGCTTGGGAACTTGTAATTTTTTTTGTGGATCAATTGTTTGATCAGAGTTTCTGATTTTCAAAGATTAAATCTATAGGGAAATGTATAGCTTTGTTCTAAATAGGGAAGCAAGTGTTGTAAAGTTTGAATAGTGCTTTGCTTGCTGTGGGATTATTAGTTGTAGCCATAGGAAGAGTTGCAGCCAGCCCCTCCAAATATGTAATGTGATTCAGTAAATCAAATGAGAGATACCGAAATCAGCAAGACTCAGCACATTTACTTTTTGTTGTTCTAAAGTAAAAGTGTTGCTTGAGCAAATTGTTGGCATTTACACACAACAATATAGAGTATGAATATCGTTTTTTTTTTAAATTCCAGACATATGAGCCTGTTTGCTAATAAAGGGAGGGTGACCACTTTTTTTTTTATTTTAGGCTGATACAAGAAGAAAAGGAAAATACTGAGCAGCGAGCAGAGGAGATTGAGAGCAGAGTTGGCAGTGGAAGTTTAGACAATCTTGGTCGTTTTAGATCAATGAGCTCTATCCCCCCCTATCCTGCTTCCTCGCTTGCTGGCTCCTCTCCTCCAGGCAGTGGTCGCTCCACCCCAAGAAGGGTCCCCCACAGCCCAGCCCGAGAAGTGGACAGGCTGGGCGTCATGACTCTAGTAAGTATAGCCTTTCCCTTGCTGGTGCCCCAGCATCTCTGTATCAAATGTTGCACACCAACTTCCCTCCTTTTACCCAGAAGAAAAATGACATGTACTTTGGGTTCAAGATTTTAAAAACTAGTAGGCCGGGGAGATAGCTCAGTGGTATAAGCACCTGCCTGGCAAGTGCAAGGTCCCAAGTTTGATCCCCAGTACCACATGCTGTGCTGGCCCAAATCCAGGCATGGTGGCGTGCTTCTGTAATCACAGTACTAGGGAAGCTGAGACAGGAGGATCACTATGAGTCTGAACTGTGTAGCAAGACCCTGTATCAAAAAATAAAAATAACTTTTTTTTTAAAAAAAAAGAAAAATATACAAACGAATGAAGTTCTTGGTGTGAAGCATTCTCAACTGAGCCTTTTCCTAGCTTCCTGAGAGGCAGATGGACTTCTCATTAGTTGTTTGTCTCTTCTGTCCTGGAAGTGGTGTGTCTGACCTTACACCCTTTGGTGACAGTGTGCAGATATGAAGGCTTTTTTGGTTTAGTCTGGGTTTTGTGCTTATCTTGCCTATGAGATCGCATTTCATGTGAAATCAGATTTACAGCATTCTGCTTTTCACCTGTATTTACATTGTTGGGTTTGTTTTTTTTTTTTTTTTTTCTGTTGTAGTACATTTTCATTTTTAGTTGCATTGTTAGCCAGCATATAATTAAATAAATCAAGTCATTTTTAGTAGCATGTTACATGTTACCAATCTCTTTTGTGGCATTCAGATACATTATTTTTGTAATTTATACCATTAATTGGCAATATTTTAAACTTTTTCTCGGTAGTATTGGGGATTGAACCCAGGGCCTCCCACATACTAGGCAGATGCTCTACCATTCAGCTACATGTCCCAACCCTTTTTTCTTTTAAAAAATTTTTGTTTTATGTATTATTTTTGGGTTTTTTGAGACAAGAGTCTTGCTATATAAATCAGGCTGGCCTTGAACTCACTATGTAGCCCAATCTGGACCAAAACTCATGGGAAATTCTGGAATTGCAGGCATGTGTCACCATGACTGGCATATTTTAACCTTTTTTGACAGTCTCATTCTTTTTGGTTCTGTCCTTATTTCTTTCCAGGCATTTGTAAAAGAAGTACAAGAGCACATGTCTATATTCCCAGCTACTTGTGGGCTGATGTACAAAGTTTGCCAGTTTGAAGTCAGCCTGAGCAATTTAGAGAGACCCTGATTCAAACAGGGTTGGGTATCCTGAGCATAGTTGGGCACACCTATAATCCTAGCTCCTCGGGAGACTGAGGCAGGAGGATCATGAGTTTGAAGCTAGGCTGAACAACTTAGCAAGACCTTTTCTCAAAATTAAAAAAAAAAAAAAAAAAAAACATGGTGATATAGCTCAGTGTTGAGGACCTCTGGCTTCTATCCCCAGTATCACAAGAAACTACAGAGGAAAACTTTTTTCCTGGTTCTGTAATTCAGTGTGCTGGCTGACAGTCTCTGTGCTTCCATTGTTGATTTTGATTTCCCGTGCCACCCTTGGGTTAGTTTCATTTTAGCCACCTCCAGATTCATTTCTAAACCAGACCCCAGGTCCCCATCAATCTGTAGTTTATCCTTCCAGCTCCCCTTCCATTCCCTCCCCATGCTTTGATGGCTCTTCACAGTCTGCACAGGTAACCAGGCAACCATGTGTGAATCTGTGCTCCACTACAACTGATTAGTGGGTTGTTGGGCTTTTGTCATTAAATATGAATTGTCCTCAGTAGAGATAAATCATCATTAGTATATCGTAAATGTGGATATAGGCAGAATGTAAGTCATTGAGTGTTGTAACTTAGATTGTATAGGGTCTATATGATTCATCAATGAAATATTTCTTATATTAAGAAATAATCTAAAGGGGATACAGATGAATGTCTATTTTGTATCTGTGTATTCAAAGTGGTTAGGATAGATATATAGTTACAGTCTCTTAATGAAAAGAGGGATTTGTTCTAATGGTGTTTGTAAATAGGATATCAAGTCCGCATCTTGTACAGCAATTAGCCATTAGGAAGAATGTATGCAATGTGTTAATTATTGAAACTGTCCTACCAATTTGGTTTGAAACTGTCTCATTGCTATTTGTTTCTCAATAAATTTATAAAGAAAAAAAATAATCTAGTCCTAATACAGTGGCACATGCCTATAATCCCAACTATGAAGGAGGTAAGACAGGATGACAAGTCAGAGGCCAGCATGAGCAGTTTAGCAAGATCCTTTGTCAGGATAAAAATATAAAAATGGCTGGGTATAGAATTTGTTGAGTGCTCCTGGCTGAGTTCAAGTCTGCATCCTACAGACATGGGAAGGGGGCACTTCTGAGTGTAAAATTAATGGAAACTATACAGAAACTATTAATTTCTGGTTTAGTTGTTACAATCAAGATTTTAAGTTTCATCAACTTATTGGTTATATACTATAGTCTTACATAGACTACTTTTTAATTGAAATATCTTAATTCTACCTAGTACTGTGCTATTAATACTTAGGTTAGGATGCCTATCTTGCTTGCTTTTCCTCCTATCCCCTCCTCTCCTTTTTCCTCCCTTCCTCTCCTCTTCTCTCCCCACCCCTCTGTTCCACAGTACTGGGGACTGAACCCAGGCCTGTGTGCTGAGCTACATGTGCAGCCCTGTTTTCTTTTTTACTATTAATTTTTGAGACAGTATCCTGCTAAATTAAAGGCTATGTTCAAACTTGGAAGTCCTCCTGCCTTAGCCTACCTGAGTGGTAAGATTTCCTGTGTATATCCTGAGCCCAATGATAAATTTATATTTTGGGAAGTTATAAATCGTACTTTAGATGAAGATTTTAGCTTATTGTCCAAAAGATGATTAACTAAAAATAGGTTTGTGGCCTTGAACTTGTGGCAGTTCTCTTGCCTCAGACTCCTGAATGCTAGGATTACAGGTATGTGCCACCATGCTTGACTGTTCACATAGATATTGCAGTAACTTCCTTATCACTTGACTATTACAACAGAGATTTTTGGCTTGGAGGAGATGATTATTAAGGCCCTTTGTTATATAGAATGCCTTCCTTTCACATGCAATGCATGTGTTCAAATAGCATTTTTTATCTGAGTAATAGCTTATAGTGTTTTTAGTAAATCCTGGATAACTTAGATTTAAATTTGTGGTAAAAAATCATTTGGCTTCCAGTTATATTTCTTTAAATCTCCTCTCACTTTCTGTCTTGTTGTTCACATTATATTTGCCTGTATTGATCCTTGAATTTTTAATTAGGTGTGTAGTAAATCTGGTCTCTCTCCATTTCTTTGCATGCATCTGTCAGCCTAGCGACTTAAGGAAGCATCGTAGAAAGGTAAATTGTTTAGTAACTGAGTATACCTTTATGTCTCCATAACACATGGAAGATCATTGTATGTCATACATAAGCGTAACACTAGCGTTAATATTTCAATGAATAATTGATACTTCATTGGAAGTGTTTAAATTGACTTGCCACATCACAAGTGATTATTCTTGTGACAACTGGCTGTTCATGGGACATGGGGACAAATGTAAGAGCTTGCTGTTTTCACTGCTTTTACATCTAACCATTTCATGCTTGTGTATAACAGACATAGAATTTAGAAATCAAAATTAAGGAAAGGGGCCGGGGAGATGGCTCATTGGAATAAGCACTTCCTAGCACGTGCAAGGGCCTGAGTTCAATCCCCGGTTTCGGAGGAAAAGAAAGGAAAAAAAAAAAAAAAAAAAGATTAAAGCAGATCGGAAGAGCACACGTCTGAACTCCAGTCACGCCGCAACATCTCGTATGCCGTCTTAAAAAAAAAAAAAAAAAAGATTAAAGCAGAGCCATAAGTTTTATTTTTATTTATTTATTTATTTAAGGGGAACTTTTTCCGGAAAGACTTTTATTTATTTTTTTTAAACATTTATTTATTTATTGTGTGTGTGTGTGTGTATGTCCCCAGCTCAGCCCACCAGGGAGCAGGGCTGGCTGGCATGTGGTGCTGGGGGATTGAACCGCAGTCCCTGTGCTTTGCCAAGCTTGTTCCAAGTAGGTGCTTTAGACCACTGAGCCATCTCGCCAGCCCCAAAGTCATAAGTTTTAGGTTTAGGAAAACCAGTTTACTGATACTGATGGCTAGCACCTAATAAGCACTTCCTCTAGACCAGGTGCCAGACTCAGTGTTTGGCCATTTTCTTACCTTATTTAGTCTACAAGCACATCCCCTGTGAGAAACAAGTAGCTATGCTTATCCCCATTTACAGATGTGGAAACTGAAACTTAGGTCACGTGATGTGCCCAGCAGGTGTGAGTTAAGGCTAGCTGGATTTTCAAACCTGGAGCATTTTTCCCTTGGGCCTTCATTTTGTCCAGATGCTGTGATCTGCTGGCAGCTTCCCTCTCAGAGGAAACCGTTAAAGAGTAAAAGCAGTGCACTGGGAGCAGGCTGATTGGTGGGCATTCTTTATATTGCTCTAGAAGTTCTCCCTGGCGCCTGCTACATTCTGGCCTTGTACCCTGCCTCATACCTCCTGCCTCATCTGGTAGTACACTTGGCAGAAGTGCTTGTACTGCTTTTACATCTAACCATTTCATATTTGTGTATAATAGACAAAGAAGTTAGAATTAAAAAATAAGGAATTATTAAAGCAGAGCCATAGGTTTCCCTCAGGAATACCCCAGGTGTGCAGTGATGTGTTCCGCAGCAGCTGTATGAGAGCTGCTCTGTTGGGAGGGAGGGAGGG